TTCAYGTTGTCAGTTCTATAAGATAACATCTATTTTCTAAATATATATATTTCTACTAATGTTCCCACACTATTGAACATCTGTGAATCCTTCCATACTCCAGGCATTTTTGTGTCCTCCTCTATAAAAACAATGCTGATTTGGGATACAGTGACAATTAAATGTAGAARTAAACTCTCTGCTGAGCAAGATTTCTGTTTTGACTACATGATTATAAAAGCAAGCTTTCAGGAAATGTGGAAGCATATTTTCTCAAGAAAAGGCAAGAGAAACCTTTTGTAGGGATTTTTGAAAATTAGTATAAATGGCAAAGTCTGCCCTTTGATAGTACTTGTGAACTGGGCTTGCCAATGGAGACCCTTCCAAGAAAGGATATTCAGTAGAGCTCTGATTTTGATAGCAACTGTCAGACACCCAGGAAATGCAAAATGTCCCCTGGAAGGCCTAATGCACTGAGGGGAAGCAGCTCAGGTTGAAGCTGCATTATCACAATTTTTAAACCGCAGTCTCGCTGCCCTGACAATGCACATAATTTTAATGTGTGAACACAGTACCATGAGACCTCTTATCAATATGTTCACTGTGCAAGTGGAAGCCTAGAAAACTTCAAAGCAAGCTGATAAATTTCCATAAAAGTGTTGCCAGCCCATAATCAGATGGCTAGGAATTCCCAGTTGCACCAAAGATAAAAACTGATGATATTAATTTGTCCTTGTTTGAACCAAGCACTCATACTGAAATCAGCAGTCCCCATATGTRCTAATATCAGCCTGCAAAAGCTGTTTTGCTGTTTTTCTGCTAGTCCTCAGATTTAGGGATTTTCTTCTTTTCTCTTTCAAAGAGTGAAAATGAAAAGAGAACATAAAACAAAAACTCAAATGACTCCATTCCATTTAGATTGAAGTTGTTTTTATTTGGCAAGTCAAAAYCTGCCTTTGGCCTTTATTTGACTTTCTCAAAGTCATAGTCTACGGCTTCCTTTTCTAAAATTCAAAGGCAGTACCTATTGGTAAGATACCATGCTCTTGCTCAGTTGCTTCTAAAGCAATTCTGCAAGATATACTCTGCAATTTTTCCAAATCTGGAAACTGAACATTTGTTTTATGACTTGTTCCCACCAGGAAGAATCSAAATCAAAACCTTCCTCCCACCTCAATTTTGTGTTTTTCCTTTTCCATGACTGCCTCACAAGTGCGGGCAGCTGCAAGCTTGAGAACATGGACATTTAATGTAATTGTATTTTTTTTTAAGCTGGAAAGGTTTACACCATAGGAGAGCTAATTAAAGTTACTTTGTTGTGAAAAAGAATGTCATAGAAACATCCMATTTAACTGAGAAGATAGAGAAACATAAAGATAAAGCCAAAGTCTTTTTTTAAACTTCCTTTAAAGAGAAACTTACCAACAGGATTCAAAAGTTTTCTGCACTTTCATGTAATTCTCTTTTGCCCCCGCCCCACCCCCTGCCCCTGAATTATTAAAATAAAGGCCAGAAAGCCTCACTTTGCCATCTTTGCTCATCTTAGTTGATTTGTAGTTACCATCTGGGTTTGGTTTTTTTTTTTCTTTGTTTTTTTTTTGCTTGTTTCTCTGGATGGAAATGCATTTCAGAAAGCCTTTCCCCTTGCCAAGAAGACACCTAGGAATGAAGGATCCATCTTCATTCCCAGCAGGTTGCTGCTGACCATTCCCTGCTAGAAGCGCCTGTCCTTCTCYCAGCTCCGGTGGTCAGGACTCGAGAAGGGTTTGGGGAACAGGGACATTGCACAGCACCCACCCTGCATCMCTCAGGCACTGCATGGAAATAATCCCCCCTAGAACAGCACTGTGCAGGTGAAATTGCTGCTCCTTCTGCCTCACCTTGGGGATGAAGGTAACACCACAGCGCCAGACAGCTGCTACAGCAGACCCTGCAGTGCCTGTAAGCCCCATGTAGTGATTTAATTTTTACAGTTGTTTATTTAAAGGCTTCACTTTTAATAATTCTGAGAGAAGGATCAAAGCAAAGCAGTGGAGCCTCTAGCATTTTCTTTTGCCTCTTTTCTCTACTGGCACAAAAAGGAGGAAGGCGTTTCCACAAAGTCCTGAYTCAAGTATAAAAATAAAATTTACATTTATCATATTTGAAGGCAGCCAAGGAAAACTAACCTCATRGTATGAGCTCTAAGAAAGCTCAGGAGGGAGAAATTAAAACAATTAGTAATAATTACCACCAAAATTATGGTACTGAATAGGACAGTGCCTAATAATGAGAGGTCACAATTACTAATGCGCCCTTCTGCATGCTCATTTGTCTTTTCAGTRTTGCAGTCATTTGTGTCGTCCTTTKGCACAGCAGGATCCCCAGTGCCACACTCCTTTCCCTTTTATAAGAAGTTCACAATAAACAAGGGTTCAACATGTTTAGAGCAGCAGTCATTCAGAGGACGTGGACTAATGTGGGCTTTACTTTCAGCCTCCTTATAAAGAAACTTTACTGTATTTGGGCTTTATTGTCTTTCACTTTATATGTTACGGGGAAATGAAGCTAAAAGGTGAGAAAAACTGCATTAATCTATATTTTTACCCAAATAAATGGAACCAGAATCAAACTTTTCATTCTTCTTCAGGCACATGGACTTTGCACACACTAGGAARGTTTATCAGTGGATTTTACTGATGGAGATAATTCATAGAATGGTTTGGSCWGGAAGGGACCTCAAAGACCAAGGTGGACCTTGTTCCAACACCTCACTGTTGGCATGGACACCTTCCACTTGACCAGGTTGCTCCAAGCCCTATCCATCCTGACTCCCCGCTCCCCGGGGAACCGTTGTTAGAAATTTCCTCCTGTCTAATCTAAATCTGACCTCTGCCCWTTTAAAGCCATCACCCCTTATCCTATCACTACATGTCCTCATTAAAAGTCGCTGTCTGAGTTTCTTGTAGACCCCCTTATCCAAGTTACTGATGGAGCCAACATAGCTAGGACAAAAAATAAACCCTTTTAGTGACATCAAATTAAAAATTGCTTGCACAACAGTAGTATCCACACAAAAAAAAATTATCAAAAATAGCAATCCTGATAATTTAATGCACTCATTTTTGRGACTCAAAACTCAGGATTGCCTAGAGAGGTCACCTACATCATATGCCTACTCTAATTTATTTTTACAGATTCACGGTAATTCTGCAATTTGTGATATTGGTCCAACAGCAAATCAGCACAAGGGCATTTTGTTACTTAAAACTTCTTAATCAAACAAAAGACATTTTGGGTCAACCCTTGTCTGCTTAATCAAAATGTTTTCTTTCAGCACAAATATGAAAGTAAACTTCAAAAAGTAACATTAAAATGATAAATTACATTATTCTATTCCAGAAAATTCAKAACACATTATATCAACTCTATTTAAGCCATTTTTCACAGCCGGATCTCATTCAAATCAATACTGTCTTGAAGGACATTTTGATTTCAACATCACAGCATTTTCCAGAGGACAAATATTAAAAAATACATTGCCATAGCTAAAAGTGGATAAAGCATTTACAAAACCCCACAATGAGCATTGTGTTGTTCATAATCTAGAGATAACAACAAAATTTTAGAAAATCTAAAAGTCCAAGACAAGTTATTCCCAGGAATTGCTACCAAATATGCTGTAGGCAAACAACAAAGTTCTTTCCTTTCCTCTTATAGATCTGTAAGTGYCAGTTCAATCACCTCCCTTCTGGAGGCTACAGCCTTCATCAGAGGGCTGGCAAAGCAGGCTGTCACAGCACTCTAATTTACTTCAGGAAAAATCAATTAAGATAGCTTAAGTGACTTTAACTGGGAAATTGCTGGGGACAGTAATCACCACTGCAGACAGTGATGAGTACACAAGAATGGCAACTTCTTCCATCAACATATTTGTACCAAAGTGGGCACCTCTCCATTGCTTCAACATCTGACCCAAAGCCCACTCAAGTCAACAAGATTTCCAGAAAAAAAAAAAAAATAGAATTAACCTGTATTCAATATTAGGCTAGGAAACAATGCTTCTCAAAATATTCCTTTGTCATGCTTTTATATATATATACATATAGATGTAGTTGCCCTGGCCTTGTGATTGAGTAAACTAGATTGAAAGAGAATGTCTGGATAAAGTCAACATTGCGTGTCTGAATCAGTACTGCAGAAAACAACAAATGTCACTCTGCTGCTTCTGCCACTTCAGCACCACTCCAAAGGGCACTAATTCCTTGAGAAGCTGCCATAAATAGCCTGCATCTCATACAGAAATGTTCTGCCAAAATATTAACTCAGAGTTGCCTTATATTTTCACCTTCAGTCATCAATACGTTTTGACAATCCTTTGCTAGAACATGCTTTCCATCTTAACACCTTATTAATTCCAGGGCTMCATCTTTCCCTATACTCCCACAGTAATTGCAGGACTCCCACTCAAGTTTCACTGACACCAAAAMGTGGAAAACACTCTTCCCAGATGGGAAACTCTCTTTGTAGTGATGTAGCTCCTGTTGACAGAGCTGTGCTTCTGCCTGTTCCTCCGCAAAAGTTAAACTACACCAGCAAAGCCTTCTTTTTGTGTTAGTTTCAAATGAGTCCACACTAGTGCTATTGACAATATTAAAATGGTGAAGGCGAAAAAGATTTACATCCAAACCAAGTAGTTGGTTCCGAAATATAAAGGCTTAGAAAAAATTAGGAAATCTCAGTGGGTGAATCAGGTATATGAGACCAAATAATTATACTCAAGGTGTTGAAGATGCTTCTTTGAAACATTTCATCCAGTCTTTTCATGCTTGCAAAAATTCCTGGCACTAGAAATAATCTAGGGGATARAATGCAAGACATAAACCTTAAAAAAGTATGCTACCCAAGGATGAATACTGTAATTATCTAAAACCTGTTATGTTAGTTAATAATGTGTGGCCTACCTGGAATCAATAGAACTAACTCAGCAGGCAGATGGCAAAACCTGTACATTAATTTCTTTTCTTACTTAAAAGGCTCACTTTCTGTAGGATTTTCAAGGTCCTTGTAATCTTCAGATCTACCCTTGAATTTTTCATTTTCTTTTGCTACTGAGAAAAGTCTTGCTTTCTAATTGGCAGCTTTGTACTGTTGCCTCAATGAATGATTGCAGCAACTTGAAGCCTGCAATGAAAGCAGCAGCAGTTTAGGCGCAAAGCAAAATACGAATAAGAAGTAAATGTATCATTTAATTTCCATTGTCATACAGCCCCTCCCCTACTAAAGGCCCTTTTCCACACCCTTTGTCTCACAATCAATGATGTATTTTCTTCTTCTTCACCCTTCTTCCAGGAGTGCTGCTAAGGTTCAAGGTGTTTGTGGGGACAACAATATCACAGTGGAAATATTTATACTAATTTCTCAAAATAATGAAGCTCATATTAAAAATACCTTCACATGCATCTATTCAGCATATATTTCTATTGTTTTCTGTTCTATTTCCCCTGTTGAAGATGGTTAAGCTACTGGAAAGATTAGTTGAGCAAGTGGAAAAGGTTGAAAGCATTTCTTTAGAKCTCATCCCTGTCTTTAGCTTTGGTATCTGAGTTTTGCTGACTCAGTTTTGCTGATTGAGTGGCAAACCTGAAACTTTTCAGCAAGTGATTAGTCACAGGTAAGACTTTTATACAGTTGAGTCGGCTCCCACACTCTGAAAGATTCAAAAAGTTCTGAACACTGAATCTTGGGTCCAGTTTAGTCTCAATATCCCTGAGCTCGGCAGCTAAGCCCTCTGTGCAATATGGTAAGTACTTTGGACTGACATCTACAGTCCTCTCTACTCTACTGCAGTGGCAGCTAGGAAAAAAAAATGTCTAAAATCTCACCTCAAAGTKCTTCTGAGAGACATAGCATCACAGACCTCTTATTATTTAATTTMGATTTTCTTGTGTTTCCTTGTGATAGACAAGGGTGGGAATGCTGCGCCACTCCCATGTACACACCAGGAGAAAAATGGCCACAACTGATAACCTTAGCTGGGTGGTGAAGAGATATTGAAGACCTATGCTCCAATTTCCTAACTCAAAATTTTTCATATGTTGCATAAAGAAGCCTTGGAGAAGGAAGCAATCCCATGCCTCCCTTTACCCAAGCAAATGCAAGCTTTATTGGGCAAGAGAATCCTGTGGAGGCTTGCTTTCCTTCTGGTTCAAAAACAGTTGAATTACCCGTTGAGCAGTGGAGGTGGTGCTGGTGCTGCAGAGCTGCTCACTAATCTCATCCCCTGGGGGCAGGGGGAGCTGGAGTTTGAGGAGGAGATCATCAAGACCCTGCAGACATTGCTGACGCTTCCCCAGCTCACATAAGTGCTTCTGAGAGCCAAGCCCAAGGCCCTGAAAATTGACTCAGAGATCATTAGGGAGCCAGCAAAGTGCCTGGTACATGGATTGATGTTTTCTGAGAACTGCTGCAAAGGAAGCAGGTGGTTGCATCTGCCAGCTGCAGWTTTTCCAGATTCTGCTTTGAAGCCAGGATGGATGTTGTTCCAATAATCGAGTACGCAGGCTGGAGAGATATATGACCACGATGGGTCCTAACTGGAAGTGATGGGCAGCATTGCTTTTGCAGGCAATGGGTCCAATGTCAGCTGGGCTTGCAGACAATCTCATCTCTTGAGGGCTCCTCTGAAGTGCARTGTGGTTAATATTGCAAATAAACTGGGATTCTGGTCGCACAGCAAGAGGAATGTGTCCAACTGGCAGGGAGAATAAATACTTCTCCAAACAGGCAGTAATCAGTTAACATTACTCTAAAACAAACATTGAGAAAGCACAGCACTTYAGCAATTAAAGGTCCAAATTTGCAAAATTAATTAGTGTTTCCCACAGCATAGCACTCTACTTATGAACAGCTCTATTGTAAATGTATGATGCTCTAATATGAAAAGAGAGCATTCTTATGTTAATTATCTAATTAACTAATCTGGGCACAATTAGCAGCTGAAACAGCACAGCATTACACTCTCTTCCTTCTTCCCTTCCGGATTCAAGATTGCCTTTAAATACGCACTTTCAAGTGGCAGGGGACCCTGGTGACAGGGCTTGCTWCCGCGTCAGGCAGACCTCGGTGCCAGCAGAGGTTCCAGTGAGCGGGCACTGAACTGGGAGATGCAGTAATATCTTTGGCACGTCATTTAGGAGGGGTAAAGTCAGCTATTTAATCCCACCCCTAAAGCTAGCCAGCCCTCCAGGGAAGCCATCCTTATCACTTTGCAGAAAGGCAGCAAGAAATGCTCAAGAATACACTTGTGGGTTTCTCTGTCCCTTTGGAAACCCAACACCACTTCACTGGAACCCCCTGACAGCAGAATTTTCCAAAGGATGGATCAGTGACTATTTTAGAGCTCTGAAAATAGAGAGTCTCTTTCATTTCTACTTTGCTGCCAGAGTAGCTATTGACTTCACTAAAGTTTACTGTGGCATGAAGAGAATTAGCGAACTGTGTGCAGATTTCTGACAAAAACTTACCACRGAGAAGAACATTTGCTGAAAGAGTCTAAATCAGCCTCAGAAGATAGCTTAGACAATGTCTCAAAGTCCTGACTCAGATTCTGTCACAATGATTCTCAACCAGGGGTAGAAATGAAAGRAGAATATTCATTTCAATATTTTCACATCTGTACATTTCTGCATCTGCTTCAGATGACCTTTTATGCAGGAAATTGGTTTTGTGTTCAGTAATTTAAAAGAGCAGAAAAAAGATAACATAAGCAGAAAAGAACAAGTTCTATACTGAATTGTAGAAATGTTGATAAATGTTACATATTTTTGCTTTATTTTTCTTTCTTTTGGCGTGTTTTTGCTTTTAGAGTTCTGTTTGTCTACTAGTTTAGGATTTTCCATTAACAAATGTCTGGCTAGATCTACTGTAATGCTCCACCTCTCCCACTCATTCAGTGCTCTCTGACAAGGACAGGAGTGGTAGTCACACACCTTTGCCTGGCAGTGCAAGGTTGGTTTTGAGACAGTGCTGATCTACTGATCTATTGTGCATTACAGAATCACAAAATAATTTACCTTGGAAAAAACTGGAGTAGTTCATCTTATCCAATACAAGCAAGATTTGCAGCACTGAGTCCTCTTACTCTGTTCTTGTCCTCGAGTCCTGAACATCTCCAAGGATGGAGACTCCAGTGCCTTTCCAGACAACCTGATCCACCTTTTCTGCTCTTACGGTGAAAAAAAAAAAAAATCTTAATTTAACTGGAATTTCCTCTCGTCCAATCGATGTCTTTTGCCTTTTGCTCTTTCACTGAGCTTCTCTCATAATAATCTGGATTCATCTTCTCTACAGCATCCCAGCTGGGGGGGAAGGCAGCCTGGAGACCCCCCTTCAGCTCTTCCTGCTCTGGACTAAAGCAAAGCAGCTGCCTCAGCTTCTCCTTCCACATCACTCACCCCAACCCCTCAGCACCCCGGTGACCCCTCTCTTGGACTCCTTCAGGGGGTTGACACCTTTCTTGTGCTGAGAAAGACAGARCTGGAGTCAGTGCTCCCGCTGACCTCTGCCCAGTGCCATGTCATGGGAACGAGCAGTCCTGCTGGCTGCACTTCTGCCCAGGCTGCTCTGGGTTTGGAAGGTTGCAGAACATTGGTGGGCAGGTTCTGAGAAGCCTGAGCAAGGACTGAGGTTGGCCTGGCCTTCACAAAGCGGGGGTGTAGCAGGCCACTCCAGATGTCCCTCCTGAATAAGCTGCTGTGTGGGTCTGTGCAGCTCCTCTGTGGCTGCAGCCACCAGCACCCACCTCCAGCACAGGACCCAGTCCCTCCTCACAAGATCCCAAAAAGGAGATCTGCATGGGCCAGACAAGACTTTGCCCAAAATCTGAGAACTCCAGACTGATCCCTGCTTCATCCCAGCATGGTTCACAGCATACCCCAAGTGAATAAATCCCACAGGGAGAAAGAACCACTCATCTCAGCAGCAGCATTGCCCTGATGAAACTCTGAACACAAGCAGCCAAAGCTGCCTTGCCCTCCCTCAGGTCCAAGAAGAGGCACTCACATTTATCCATGCTCTGAGGAGTCATAACCAGAACCTGAGACTATGACCAGCCTGTGTGCAATGCAGCGGGCAGGGGAAAAAGGCTAAACAAGAAAAGAAAATCAAAGAAAGAGGAAACTATTACCAGACACCATCACTAAGTCRTGTCTCCTCTGGCACATATTGTGTAAGCCAGATCTCATTTCAAACTGTCCCCTAGTTCTTCTGTTAACTTGCCCATAAAGGGTGATCCTGTGAATGAAGTGCTTCAGGCATGACAGATAACCTATAAAGCACTTACCACATGGCATCTTATGGAAGGAAAGGGGACAGATTCTTGCAGGACCTTAAAATATGGTGCTGGGCACCTATTAATAGCTTTTGTCAGAGTGAATCATCATCCTCATCTCTTAAACAATGACTCATGAATTAGCCACACAAATAATTGCATCTACTGACCTCTATAAGCAGAAATTAAAAAAAAAAAAACCAAAAAAACACAAAACCAAATTTACTTAAGCCATATAAAGTTCCATCATATCAACAATTAACCATAACTGACTATTAGGATGACAAAAAAACCTACCTGCCTTTGCTGAGGCCTAAATCAACATACTTAATATATGTTACCACATGCCACCACATTTCCTTGTGTTTTGTTTGAGCCTTGCATGATTTATATAAATCTATAAGAACCCTTCTGAAACTCTCCAGCGTCCTCAGAAGGAACCACAAGATGCTCTGGATACCTTTACTACACTATTTTTGAAGCATTTATTTGGGGTTGTAGGGATTTTTCTTGCAAGCTGCAATGAGGCCAGGCATCTACCAGTCCTTCAGTCAAATATGAAGTCAAAACCTCAAATCCCAATTCTTTCACAACTCACCAGGRCTCCAATATTCATGGTGGCCTCCAAACACCACGAGAATAATTGTCCTACTTTCTCATAAGAAGTTACTGTCCCAAGAATCCTGGAGAACGTATTATATTATGCCTTCATTTCAGGAAAATTCTCTCCTATTTTGAGGGACACCCAGCCACAGGTGGTTTAGGGGCACAGCCCCAAAATTTCAGTGATATCCACAAGAATTTGCCGAACTATGTTTTCAAGCTAGAGGCGCTAGAATGCGGCTGCGTTCCTTAGCATGGATTTTATCACTCTACAGAGCCTTTGGACTCCACTAAGGAGTTACAAGGACACCAGAGTCCAGTAAGGCATCTGTCTACAGGCAGAAAGCCTGGTTTTTGTCTAGAAACAGCCATTTCAAAATTTCTTCTTTATCCACACCGTTATGGAAAATATGTAGAAAAACAGCACCCTGTGACTTACATTATAAATTGCTATTAAGCAACAATCTTTGAATTTTGCTATGTGAGTGCAAACTTTTATCATCAATCCAGAGGAAACTTATTTATCATATATACATGAGAGACACTCGTGACCTCCTTATGTATATCCCACTAGCTGGAAAAAAAAAAGACACCATGGAGCATAAATCAAACATATGATTTTCTGGTTTATTTCTTGAGCATGAGTCTTGACTTGATTTTTTTGGGGGAAAGATCTTCTCCATTAAATAAGTCATGAAAGTACTGAAGCTCATCCTCTTTTGGGACCTCTAAGTGAGTGTTTCCAAATTCCATACATTATCACATCCATAGAATTTGTTACGAATATTGCTAGTTTGTGCCAGAAAGTTTATAACAAGATGCTGGCTGGCTACCAAACCACTAACTCTCTAGGACTGGCTTAGGGACAATTCAGTGTGCTATTTAATGAAAGAGAGTATATGGCCTATGAAAGCCTGTAAGACTCACTTCACARCGTGGTTTGCTCCCTCAGTGATCTTTCTTGGCAGCTCCCAGCTCAGTGTGGAACCCCACCCAGGCCAGCTATGCTGAACCCAGACTGTCATCTGAGCCATTGACTCTCCTTTTTTGGCTGAGATTGTCTCAAATTGCATTCAGACTCTCCATTTCAAAATAAAGGCAAATGGTGTGCACAGACATCAATCACTCTTTATATAGGATGGAGTGCTGATGCCCTGCTCTCATTCAGCAAGCAATTATAAAGGCTGCATTTAGTGGYAAAGCTGAACTTCTAGTAATGCTCACTGAGACTTCATTTTAGGGTTTGGGATTGTCTCCTTTTTCTGAGAGGAAGATCAATACCATACTTTCCCATACTGTCTTTCATCCCAAAATACTTCCCAGTTTAAACATATGTTTGCAGGAGTTGTTTTTTTAATATGTTCCTGAGCCATGGKAGTAACAGAAGCACTGTGGCATAATGTGCAGGGCATCACTGCTTTTAAATTAAAGTAGKGAAGCCTTGAATATTGCCCTTACCTGGGACAACAAGGGTAATTAAAATAACTGGAACATCAGGTTAATTAAAAACCCTCAATGACCCAGGAAGATTGTTACTGAGTCCAAATGATCAGATCCCTCTTTTAAGATTGTCCATATAAAGAAGTGCTTTTTGTGTAAAAAGATGATGGTACTTTTCACATTTGAAAAAAAAAAAAAATGCAGATCCTTACAAGGTGCTTCTGGACTCAAAGGAGATGTCTGTGCATGCTGATTCTTCATGCAAGTTAAGGATTGCATTTGTGTAGAATTCTATTTCCTTGAACTATTAGCCCTCCCACCCATCCCCCAAGTGTTCTTCTTTGATTTAAGATTACAGCTGGGTTAGTTTCAGGATTATTTTACAGCATAGGGCAAAAACTGTGTCAAGGACCCAGTGAACACATAGGAGGCTGTTAYTGATGAGTTATCACGTAACCACCATAAAGAGCCTCTGCATTTTGCCTTTTCTTCCTACCTTTGAGTATTGGCTTATCAGGCTTTTCAGAGGATTCATGGAACATTCAAAATTGAATGAACTGCTTCAAATTAACTGTTTCAAAATGAACTGTTTTAAAACAAAYTGTTTCAAAACATTAAAAAAAAAATTTCTTGAACATCAGCCACACTGCTCATGCCAAGGGCTSTATTGAACAGCAACACCTGTAAACCTAATGAAGATTTTCTACAAATCTTAAGATTTGAGACATAAGTCTGGGATGTCATAGAGAAAAATTACTACCGAGACCTCAACATTCCTAACATTCAGCACGGTAACCTTCAGCAGCCAGAGGGGAGAATATACAGCAATCCACATTCAGAGTAAGCACTTGACTCTTTTGTCTCCTCTGTTAAGTCAAATTTACTGTTATTCTTGTAGTTTAGATACTACTGGAATAACAGTGACTTTAAAATACACACGTTCTCCAGAGATGTTAATCACTAAATCTTTCTTATCTCTATTTCACTCACGCTTGTACAACAGATGAAGTCATGCATGGATTTGTGTTCTGCTTTATGGTGTTGAAGCCATATGTTGATATTAACATTTTGGAACCAAAATGAGACAATAAGCAAAACTGAATGTATTCCAGGCCTCCTTAGAGTATCAATTCTCAGTCCTTAATGATGCAGGGTAATACCTCTTAGGGAAGGAGAAGCCTTGTAAATGTTGCTGCTGCCTTGTTCATRTCCATCACTGAATGCTTCCTCCATTCTGACAGCCTTGGGAGGAGAGTGGTGTTTATTTACTGTCAGTAGGAACATGGGGGTTAGATAGGGTAGATGGGATAGGGTAGCAAGGCAACATCTGCTTGCATGTGATGACTATCTGCTCAGATTGATTTGAGTATTCTTCTTCCTCATCCCTGGGAAATGGATAGCTTAAGCATTGCAACTAGCTGAATTTGTGCAATCATGCCAGAACTGCAGAAAAATCTGCTCGAAATTTCTCTTTGTGGAGTTGCCCAGGCCCATATTCTCAGGCAAGGCCACTTTTAGACCTAAATGTGAGAAGGTGGCTTGTGAGGGAGGGAAAATTTCTGCAGTTAGAAGTAGCACAGAGATCAGGGCAATAATGTTTGAGAGACAGGCAAGCTCTAAATACAGACATCATGAGCAAGCTTGGCTCAAGGGGCCCTGCAAAGCCCCAGYATAAGATATTCACAGGGTATTTGCAGGATTCAGCAGTAAAAAAGATCAGCTTTGGTGCAGTTTGTTGTCAGGATAACCAGAGAGAGAGCAAAGCATMCTGTGTTGGGCTCTGGGAGCCAAGGGATGGCAGACAGGGCCACAAGAGGAGCACCAACATGGGTGTAGAAAACCAGCAGGATGAAACCCAAAATATTGCACCAAATAAGAATGGGCTGGTGGAAATCATGCAAAATGAGGAAAATGTTAACTTTGAAAGGCACAGGGCATGTCTAGCARAGGCAGGAGTGCTTTCACAGCCCCAGATGTCAGGGGTGTTCTTTAAGCYATTTGTACTGTGCAATGGACATCTATATCCTATTCAAATATTCCTTCCACATCACCTTCTCAAAATCCATTGTTTTCCCTAACAGACAGCAAGAGTTTGAAAATACCTTCTGGAGTGTATCCAGCACTCCTGTGCTTTCTCCAGACATTTTGATAATGAGGAAACAGCAACAGGGGCAGGTCTGTGACAGCTACTGCCTCAAGTGATGTGGGGCACACAGCTCGCCCAAGGCTGTGCCAATGACATTTTTCTCACTTTTTCAGTCCTGATGTCTGGTAAATCTGCATCTGAGAGAAAAAGCTGAAGTACTGCAATAAACACAATTCTTTGTACCACAGTGATACAGAAATCAGTGGAATACATATTTTTCTTCACAGTTCTTTTCATTTTTATTTCCAATCCAAAATAAATAAAAATTTTAAGATACCCTTGAAATTAATGAAGTCTTTCTTTGTCAGTTCAGCCTGGAAATAGTTAAATTGATATTTACACAATTYATCATGGCTCTGCAGCCTACCATTACCCAAAGAAAACTTTCCCTTATAGGAGAGGGGAAGTTTATGTAGCTGCAGTCTTGGATTACATTGATTCAGTCCTGAGGCAATACAGATGCCAATTATATGATACACACACCATACATCTCTAAATTCTCTGTAAAACAATCCCTGAGAAATAATTGTTATTGTCAGTCTAGTCAGACACTGAAAATACAGCCAGAACAGCGCTTTACCTATTGGTACAAAACTAAAGTTTTAGTGTGTCTAGTAAAAGCTTCATTTTTTTTTTTTTTTTTGTATTAGTTATGGTACAACAATCGTGGATTGGTCTGTAAAAAGACTTTAATTCCTTTACTAAGTACCATGTCAGCCTACATGCTTCCATATCACTTGAAGTGTTAAAGTAATTGTTCATCTTCCTTCTCTTTTTCTCTTTGCATTAAGACTTCATTTGACCCTCTGGGTTACTCTGATCAGTAAGTGCCAATTAATTTTATGCAAAGGGCTAAACAAAAAATTTTATTTCCTTGTAAAGGAACAGGATTTTTTTTTTAAAAAAAATCCAAATAATTTTTATAAAAACATAATTTTTTTTTGTCCTTCAGATTGTAGAGTCTGATCATTAGAAAACTAACCAAGGCAATTTCAGTTGGTTGAGGCTTTTTCCTATAATATGACCAAAGTGGTTTTCCAAACCCTGCTGTCCAACTCAAATTGACTCACCCAGTTTCAAAAAGTACCATTTTGCCTCACCTACTGATTGTTTAGGCAGAACTATGTGACATCTCAGTTAACTCACCTTCATATTAATGTCATCCTTGCCACTGTGGTTGCCACCAGTCTGTACCCCTGTACCCCTTCCCAAGGTGGCATCAGAACCTCTTCTTGTGTGCCCAGAGATTCACCGGTGTTTCAGCTCTTCCACCTGCTTCAAGTCACAACAAACTTTAATTAAATAGCATTCTTCATACAAATGCCTCTAAATCTTTAAATCTTCATGTAATGATCATGAATCATAGCCTACAAACTATCTTCTACTAGGCAAAAAAATATTAATAGAGCATTAAACCTACGTGAATGAAATTAGCAGACGCAGAAGGAAAAAAATATGCACAGCCATATTCTCAATGCTCTCCATTTTTTTTCTGAAGACAACAGTCAAAATATCCTCATTAATGAACTCAAAAAKACTTTGAACCTAGCCAAAATACTACTCTGAAAGCTTAGTTATCATCCTAACCTAAGATCTGTATCAAAAACTAAATGTAAGATAACTGTATTCTAATGAAAATTTCTCAAACTTCCCTTCCTTGAAGCATTCCACCTTTGCTATAGTCATCTCATATGTAAACCTTTACAAACCAGGAACCTGACCATGCCTGAGGAATAAATGCAGGACCTGACAGCACATGTCCACTGCCACCAGCATGGATCCCACAGACACTCAGCCTAGAAGGTGAATGACCATGGGATTTTCTTTCCTTATTGGAACCACCCCTGTGAAACCAAGTCCTCACTGCTCCGCAAAGCAAACCCAAAAGTAAAACAGTACAGGACAGTACCATTCAGGTACCAGTAGGAGAGCCCTTTTCACTCTCCAAAATATCACACCATTGGTCTCTTAATCCTGTTACAAGAGAGAGACATCACCCTTCAGCATGAGCCTGGAAATAAAAGTCCCTAGTTCTACTGGCTGTTTGAAAACCATGGATTCACTAGAGCTACAAGGTTTGTATCACATTGTAGCTTCCCCCACTGCCTACCACACACTCACTTTTTACCATGGACAACCCTGACTCTATTGGCAGCCTCAACATTTCTTCTCAGTGATTGCTGAAAYAACATCAGCCTCACCTGAAAATCACATTGGCAAGCAGAGAGATGGAGATTTGAYTGAAGCACACTTTTATGCACAGGACTACCTACAAGGGAGGCAAAGGAATCATTCACATGAGGAAAGTTCCTCTACTACGGCTCTGAATAAAAGAATGGGCATTGTATCATGAAAAAAAAAATGGGAACATTGAACAAAGAAATTACTTCATTCAAAGATTCATAATATTACTGTTCCAGGGATTTCTATTGCATTCGAGGTAACAGAACTTTTATAGTCTTTGAAAAGAAAGAAGTTTTTTTTGAAGGAACATCTGACTCCRTAATTTCCTTTGCCAGCAGAAAATGTATTGCCAAGTGTTTATGCAAAAAGGAAGGTAATGGTAATAGAGCTGGATAAAAGGGATCATCAACATTGGTAGACTTTCTAAAAAAAGTCCCTCCTACCATTACACACAGGATATCTGATCTGGGAACTACTGTAGGATAAAACTGGAAGGTAACTCCATGCTAGGCAACAGAAGAAATAACAGTGACAAACACCAACACAAAAAAGGAGATGTATTCCAAAGCACTCTGTAAAAAACTACAAGCTCATTCACACTTTGAAATCTAATCATTTGGTTCATTCCCTCTGTTCTATTTCAGCCAGGAGATCTGCAAGATGTCTACCCACTGTTAAATTGGTAGCCTTCTCTGAGTAAAATTGATCAATGTCATGACTACTACTTTTCCTTTATCATTTGGGGAACAAGTAATTCTGAACTGTATTATGSTAGGCTTTCTGATTTGAATTTTATTTTCTGGTTGTCTTTGCTTTTCGTCTGCTGTCATGTCTTTTCCTGGGGATATATTTTGCCACTTGGGAAATTCTGAGAAGATAAATCACTGTGCAATTCAAAATTCTTAACAGTCCAAAGCATGTGTGTTTGCATTTGTGAAGGTTCTGTATTTATTCTCTGTCTCCCTGGAAAAGCTCCTAGCTTTTCATTTCTAGCTCATCTGTGGCACTTCATTTGTAACATGCTACAGGCTTCCAAAGACAGACACAACACAAAAAGGGAGAGGGAAAATGCTGAGTTCATCACCATAAATTATTGATGTTTCTTCTACTTAACTTACTCATCAGGATTCATTGTTAATGAGGTGTGGATTTTAGTTTTAAATTTGCCATGAAACCAGATGATCTTTAAGGTTGCTTCCAACCCAAACCATTCTGTGATTCTGTGTAGCACTGCAGGCATTCAATTTGAAGCACTGCATTAAAGWGGATTTCTCCCAGTGTGTGTCTCTGGTTCCATTTTCTGCAGTAGGTCTCTGCAACTGTGACTTGGCAGGCACTGGTGGTATTTATCCAAAGTACAGAATGCAATAGGAAACAGAAAGACAACAGGAAGATTTTTATTATGTAACTGATAAAACACAGAAACAGATGCTGTGCAATTGCTCTGGAATTAGTTGATTTATTTAAAGGGTTAATTGACTCATATTCCTATGGGATAAACAGGAATTCARATGAATTGCAGTGATCCAGTATCTGGGAGCACCAGGAAATCTGCCAACATGTATTACTGTTTCCATTTCCCAATTTTCAACTAGTTTAAATTAGGGTCAGATGCTGCTGCTGTTGTTCCTATTGCTGGACTCGCMCTGCCTTTAGCACAAACAGAAGCTGGCTTGYAGGCTGGGGTCAGWACTGGGATATTCTCAGTCAAACAGYCCAAATGAAAAATGGAAGGGAGGTGGGAGTGAGCTGGTTTGGGTTTACCCTAGAGGAAACTTCCACCAAAGCACACTAAAAAAATAAAATGGAATGAAAAATTGATTCGCTTTAGGGTTTTTCCRGAGGGCTTCAGAAGTGGAACAATCTGAACTGAGACCAGCGGGAGCTTTATCAGTGTCTGTGGGAGGATCAGGCACAAACCAGTGCAGCATTTTTTGGAAAACTCCTCTTGGCCCATTGTGAGATCAGGCTCCACAGGACTAAAAGCCACTTTTAGGGATCCACATGTCACCTACACAACTCCTGACACAGATATCAGCCCCAGACTACAGAGCTGGAAGAGCAGTTCAAGGAATAWGAGGCAGAAGTTCAAAATCCTGGTCCATCACCTACCACCCTGGGACCTTGGGAAATCTTCATTGTCTGACTGTGCCACAGCTCCTTATCTGTGAGCTAATACTAGCAGGTCACTGCCTTGAAGATCTATTGCAGAAATAAATACATTATCGCCTGTACAATGGGTACAAGATCAAATGTGTAGCCAAGACAGGCAGCCATGAACAYCCTGGGATTTTTTTTTTCATCCTAAATCAGGCAAACTAGCAATTAAAGTGGCCTTTTTCTGATACACACTAAAAAGGAGTAGGGAAAAAAGAAGGGAAAAAAAACCTACTTAAAGAGCTGCTCCTAAAAATATAAAATGTATTTTAATTATGAAGGGGAATTAATTTTAGATTGACTGAGGAAAATCTCATGGGGCATTCAGCCAACTCATCCATCTCCTATCACCAGAGAATTTCAGCTTTCCAAACAGCCCTGTAACATTCCACTTCTTGGGATCTTCCCTGAATACCGAGCTTATTATCTTTTGACTCCTTCATTATCTGTCACTGACATAAAATGCAGCATGTACTCCTAAGGAAATTAAACACTGAAGAAAAAAAAATGTATTAGTCTATCTAATCACCCTTCCCCTCCCCTTTCCAGGGTTTCTCCCCACTGTATCATCTTTGCCCTTCAGCCACATGCAAAACCTTGTCAGCTTTGCCACTGCTCTTTCCYTTTCTGTCCCTCCATTTCCTGCCACTTTGTTCCTTAGATTAAAAATATGTAGCAATATCTGAATTCAGCTGTCTGGGACAGCGTCAGGTGAGTGAGGACAGGGTGCTATTCAGACAGCATGTGGTCATTATTAGCCAAARGGACTGAGTGCTCTTCATCTTGGTCTCCAGAAGTGAGATTAAAACTCACAGTCCAAGCTGACTCAAAAAACCCACACTTATCTCCAACACCGATGCCAGTGCTCAGGCTTTGTGTCCACAGCACTGGAGAGTTTTTGGAGAGTGAGATGTTGTCCAGGTTTTGCCACTGGCCTGGAAGATGCCTTTGAACTCTCTGTCTACCCCAGTATTCTGTCCTGTACAAGGAGATGCCCTTCAGCAGCAGCCACTGCATGGGGCACTGGGTGCTGGCAGCAATGGTGACACCCATGGGACACACTTTCTAGTCCAGTCCCAGAACTCCATATCTGTTAAATGTCCTTATTCACCTCAGTTTCCTCTCATTTTCTGCAGTACCAACACTTGCAYTGCTCATTTCAGATCAGGAATCTCTGTATTCCAACAATCTGCCATCTCAAACTCAACTGCTGCCTTCACCTGCACGCCCACCTCCTGCTGTTTCACCAGATGCTCCAAAGGAGCTCTGCTCCAACAGACACCAGATTAATGGGCAGAAAGTTTGCTTATTTTTGCTTTTGTAATATATCTGATATACTTTGTAATATATCTGAAAGTTCACCTCTTCTTGTGTTGAGTCCCACAACAATCTCCTGTGACTGCCCCCATTCACAATATTRCTCTGTCCCTAAGGAATTCTCCACACTGCTTGGATGCTGCATGGTGCCCTGTGCTGAATGTGACAGTGCTCTCTAAAGGAGGTTTAAATGAAAACTGTAAATTGTGAGATTTCTTGAACAGCAGTCTGGGAGACTTCAAACTCCTTTTTATTAAAATTATTTAAAAATATATAAGTATGTTAAAAATTTCAGCAGCTGTAGATACTGATAATAATAGGAAAAATGAGAKAAATCAAAACTATTAGCATATTTTCTATCTGAAAGCAAAGGGTCATGTTAAAATAGTGTTGTGAGAGCATAGAGGTTTTCCTTTACTGGAAAAATGATTGGATTTTAGAACAGAAAAAAAATACAAAAAAGAAAATAAAATCTATCAAATCAAAACAAAGGAATTAGGAAAAGCTGCACCAAGAAACAGAACTTTAAATGCTTTCCAAAAATTGTGCCATTGACCTTCCAAAAGCTGAGATAAACTAGACCCACTCTAGCTGTGGGGCAACTACTTACTCC